AAGAATTTTTTAATTCAATTGTTTGAGCCTAAAAGATATGAAATTAAGTAAGAATCAAAATTTAATTATAAAATTAATTATGAATAAAAATAAATAACACAACGCACATCTTGATTGAACTTATAAGAGAGGAACCTAAGGCATATGGCTTTTCTCATTCAATCCTTTATGTTATTTTTCTGTTTAACTCTAAATTTGATTTCTTTGTGATCATCAATCATTCATATAAATACTATTAATATTCAATGATCATGATTAATATTCTTTTCTCTAAATTAATATCTCTAATGATCATGCAACATATCAATCAAAAAAAGCATAAAGCACCTATGAACTTATTAATTTAATAACGCTTGGAAGAGAAAGATTGTTTTAGTCTATCTAATCATTTGTCTCGTTTTATTCTACAGATCGATTAACTAATTAAGGTACAGTCGTCTGACGATATAATTAATTAGAATTATAATTATGCATAATAGAATAAAAGCTAATCACGAATAGAAATCAAATATAGATTGAAACTTCAAAATCCCATAAATTCATGAACAATAGTTTCCATAGTCCTAGATATGGACTTAGTTACTCAGGCTAAAAAGAAGAGCAAAATCAATCATAAATAAAGTCATAGAGAAAAGCAAACTAGAAAAAGATTATTTTTCGATCTTCAAGTACCGTCGTTCAAAGCTCCAAGTCCCACCAACAATATGCTAATGATCTCATGTAAGAGAGACAAGATGAAAGATGTATTGAATAGTGAAAGATAAGATGTAAACCTTGTCCAACAAGATGCTTGGAATATCTCTTTTATAGGGTTTGAAAACTATAAAAGCTCTTTATAATTGAGCTTCTTTCTGATGAGCATAGTCGTGCAAGACCTTGTTGAAAGGGTCTGGACGTGTTGACTGCTACGAAGCTCTGATCTTTCATTAATTTGAACTCAAAATTCACTTGTGGCCTCTTCATACTAAACTGCACATTTAACATATAAATCAGTATAAAACCCAATTAAAATAAAGACTAAACATAAATATATGGGCCGTAAAAGAAGACCTAATTATGGACTTATTACTCTCAAATATTTTTTTAAAAAAAAGGTATATGTTAAAAAGATAAATAATGGGGTTGTTTTAACAGAAAATAAAAAAAAGGCTTGAAAAATTAATTTGGCTCCAGAAAAAGAAATCCTGCATTGTGTAGGCTTGTACCCAGCACTCAGAGCAAATTTCATACATGAGAAAAGGAAGAGCTCAGAATTTTGGCTTCTTATAAACCCTAAAAATGATCAATATAAATAGCATAGAAGAGATTCGAAATGGGAAAGCAAAAAAAAAATCGCCATTAGCGATCTTTGACTCCTCAAAAACCTGCAACAATGCACTATTCCTTACCACACGTGTCAGCCATTAAAGCAACTAAAAGTCACCAAGGGCGATTATAAATCCCGCTCCAGTGCAAGAGAAGACATGCATGAGGAAGTGAGGGAGAAAAAATGAAGGAAGAAGAAGGAGCATTCGAGCATGAAGAAGGAGTGTTATGAGTGAATGAAAATATATTTGAATGTAAAATATTTAAATTCAAAAACAAATATTTGAAAGATGATTAGAGATATTACGTGATTCAAGCCAGCATATTTTAAGTGTTAATTTTTATATTTTAATTAAAATTTGAATTTGATTTCAAATTTATGGTATTGTAATTAATTGTTATTATTGTATTTATGTTGATAAATAAATTTGGAGAAAAAAATAATGTTAAGTAATAATTGAAAATATTTAATATAAAAAATAGAAAAATTTGAAAAAGGAAATTTTTTAAAATCAGAATAATAATTAAATTCATATTATATTAATTTATATTAAACTTTGTAATTTCTATTTTTGTCATATATTAACATATTGTAATTCATATTAAAGTGTTATTAATTATTTTTAAAACATAGTTTAGAACATTTGAGATAATTAGTTAGTAAATATAATAAATTACAATATGTATTTTTAAAATTCTGTTATTTAATTTTATTAACTTAATATTCTGTTGTGTTTAATTTTTAGAAAATTAACATAACATTTTAAAATATTATGGTAATGTAATAATTAATGAATAAATATAAAATTCTAAACATTCATTTATGATATTGTAATTAATTGTTATTTTTGTATTTATGTTGATAAATTTGGGGGAAGAATAATGTTATGTAATAATTAAAAATATTTAATATAAAAAATAGAAAAGCTTGAAAAAGAAAAATTTTTAAAATCAGAATAATAATTAAATTGGTATTAAATTAATTTATATTAAATTTTGTAATTTATTTTTTTGTCATTTATTAACATATTGTAATTCATATTAAAGTGTTATTAATTATTTTCTATATAAATTTTAGAACATTTAAGATAATTAGTTAGTAAATATAATAAATTACAATATGTATTTTTAAAATTCTGTTATTTAATTCTATTAACATAATTTTCTGTTAGTAATTTAGTAAATATCATAATCTATAATTTATTTTAGTACTTATTTATAAATTTGACCTAAATTATTTGTGTTGATTAATATTATTTTTCTATAACAAGAAATGAGACTATTACGATTCTATCATTTATCCATAATGCCAACTAGAGAAGAAATAAATAAAATTTTACAGGATGTTGGATTTCATTAGGTTTTAAAAATTTGTCATATGCAAATCAACTGTCTTTTGATTAATGCACTTGTCAAACAATGAAGACTTACAACACACATATTTCATTTACTTTGCGCATAATGCACAATTATATTAGAAGATTTTTGTATGTTACTTGGACTACAAGTTGATAGTTTACTAGTGATTGGGTCAACTAATCCATTTTGTGCAGTAGCTCAAAACATGTGTAATGAGTTATTAGATGGTCGACCATCAATGAATGATATAATAGTTACCTTCAAATGAAAATAAACATTGTGTCAGTTTAAATAAATTTTTCAATATATATATATAAATTAATAAATTTAACAATAAAATGAATAAAACTTATTTTATAAATTAAAAATAACTTATTTTTTATATTTTAAAAATTTTATTATTTAACTTCTTTAAAATTTAAAAAATATAAAATATTTTTAGCTTATAAAAAATATTATTCATTTCTCATGTTAACTTTTTTTTTTCTTAAAATATTTCTCTAAAAGGTTATTTAAACTCGATCATTATCACATTTTTTTATAAATTAATATTATAATTTATTTTAAGCTTCTATTTATTTTTAGCTAATCTTACTTATGGATCAGATTAACAAAATTGATACAAAAGATATATATACAAACAAACTCACATTTATTTTACTTTAAATTTTAAATTGATAGGTTTGTGAAAGTTAAGTTTTTAATTTAAGAATTATATGTATAAAAGGATGCAAAGGTAAAAACTTTTTTAAATATGAAGACTAAAGTTAAAATAAAAGTATTTGCATATTTTATAAATGTTAACGAAATTTTCTAAGACTTTTATTTGAGTATTAGTTTTTGGAGGAAATGGAAGGGAAGGAAAAAGCTTATATGATATTTAGTATGTTTGAGAGTTTTTAGATAAGAGTAAGATGATTTATAAACTTTTCAAAATCCTCCTAATCTCATATTTTTAAGTTCTTCCAATTTGGGAGTTTTGTATTAATCATCTTTCCTTCTCCCTTACCTTTCAAATTCTTTCTTTTCATCTCCTTCTAAACTCCCAAATAAAACTTAAAAGTTTTTTTTTTTTTATGAATATTTATGCTAATAATTGAAACTATAACCTGTTTGAAAAAAAACCAGTGCACCCTAATCAATTATAATTAGCATTTCTATAATAGAATTTTTTTAAAACAAATTATTCAACTCTTTTAAAACTTTGTTAGGGAGTTAATTTTTAAAAAAAAAAAGTGAGGAAAGTGGAAATTTTATTTAGTAACAACCTTTGTTTGAGAGTTTTTAAATGAGGGAGAGGGTTTATAAACCCTCCTAAATTCATGATTTTTAGTTTTTTCAATTTTGATGATATTTTATTAAAGTAAACTTAAGAGGGTATTAAAAACTCACTTTAGATTAGTAGTTGTAATTTCTTTAATATCTTAAAAATTAAAGAGTATTTATATTTTTTCAAAATAAATTACTAATCTCACTATCTATTAATATACAATTAACAGTGATAATTATTTTATACTTGAAAGTGTATAAAATATCCTCTTAATTTATAAGGCATTTTAAAAATTGTCTTTTATTAATTCTCCTTTCTCTACTCTCCCTATTCTTCAAACTCTTTTCTTCAGTTTCTCTACAAACTTTCAAACAAAGTCTAAAAAAATTAAATTAATATAAATTTATAATATAGATTATAAATTCTACATTATTGTCATTCTCTTCAATAAATATAAAATAAAAATAGTTAATGAGATATTAAAAAAATGATGAATAAATATACAAAATATAAATAAACTCATTTATCTTATTGTAAAATTTTAATTTTTTATTGTCTAGATCACATATATCCTCCTCTGAAAGTAATCATATTCAAGACAAGTAAAATCACTCTTTCTTTACAAATATTTAATAAAACTACCTCACATGAAAAAGTCAATTATATCAAAGATTCAGTTTTAAAAAAACCAACTTCTCGATGTGATTCTTTTCTTACAAAAAAATTGTTTGGGAAGTCAGTTCCTAACACCATTTAATAAAATGAATGTTTTTAAAATTTGTGTTTGGCGACTAACACATTTCGAGAAATAATGAATATTTTTGAAAGTATATTAATACAGGTACAAATAAATAATTAGTTTTATTTGTGTTTTATTTGAGATCAACACCACAGATGCTTAAATAAACTATGTAAGTTTTTTCCATTACCTCAAAACTTTAGAAACATACAGTTTTTAGTTTTAAATTATCCAAAAGAATTCAAGTAAACGGAAACACAATGTCAACGTTATTTTCATGATGAAAATTTTGTTACCCTAAATAAAAATAAAAAATACACACTATGCGAAACATGTCTAACTATTTATACTCAAAAAAGAAATTGTTCAATAATCAGCTTAAGGCTGGTGTCACAAGCAACAACAGAATAGAGGGGAATGAACAAGAGATGATAAAAAAATGGTTTATACCAACATAATAATGATAAAATAGTAACAATAATAAAAAGAGAGTTATTAATGTTCTAGCAAGGTGCTTAACAATTGCACATGAACCAGATGTACTATATGCCTCTTCAGGCTTTCTTCTGTTTTACCACTGGTGGTGGTGCTGGGAAAACAATACGGAACAGCCAAGCAGCTAGTATTGCTCCTACGAAAGGGCAAATCCAATAAACATAGAATTGGTCCCAAGTGTTGTGCCAGTTTCCCAAGAATGCCCAACCAAAAGCCTGAAAATAATAATTAATAACAATGATTGAGTTATATTCCTTGTGCATCTCTATGTATCACACCTCCAAGGAGCTGACATTAACATCAAATGTTATATACCCAAATAAAAAAGAGTCAGAAGGATTAAGGATTTTGCACATAGGAAAAATGTTAACTACAGGAAAACTTCAAAAGATAATGATACAATGCATTAGGTAACACTTAATGGGACTGATGCTGTATTTGACTTTTTAGAGTCAATCTTAGATCACCTTCAAGTAAATAAATTTGATCCTGCATTATTTATATTTCTACCAGAAAGAGCATGAAAGGATGGAAGAGTTAAAAAAGCACATGCATCTGGCATAAAATATTTTCCTTTTGTTCCAGACTAGTGAACAGTAAAATTGACTGAACTATTTTGCATAGATATCTATTTTTCAGTGACTAGCAGCAAACACACATACAACCAACGCCTTATCATCTATTCAAAAGAAACTACAGTAATGTTTATTTAAACCTTACAGAAATTGTAGAAATGTAATCCTACTTCCTACTTGGTTACTGATTAACAATTTAGAACATGCATAAGGGGACTAAAAACTTCTATAGCAGAAAGGCCAAAAGGCACCATAGCAATCTTTGGCAGTTTACGCGGGCAGCTTGTCAATTGTGAGATAGTTAGGGCCTTTGGCTTAGGAGGTGCAGTCCCTCCAAGAACTCTTGAGTATGAGTTTTATTCTGTAATGTTGAGAGTTTCTTCTTGTATTTCTTAATAAAGATACCAGTTTCTATCAGAGACTTAACCCCTTTTAAGGGGTAGAGATCACCGAAGTCAGTTTTTCATCTCTCAACAGAGCCTTTTCCATACACACAAGACAGAACTAGAGTTCAAACTCTCGTTAACATGCTTAAAAGACCTACTTATCTATCAATGGTATCATGCTTTGTTGGTGCCCATGGCCTACGACACAGCTTCCCCAATTCTTACTTGTCAAAACTAATGAGAAACCAGCCTTGGATATTTCCCAAAAAGGAGTAATAGAAAGAACAAGTGGAACACACATATATTAGCATGTTCAATTAATGTAACCTTTAGCTACGGGTCAATAACGGCTGAAATTCTAGAAACAACAACAAAATCAGGTGGTACACAAATTCAAAACATATCAACATCCAAACATTAACTCTTTTCTGGCACATAATATTCACAGATTTATTATAATTTTGCATTTGAAAAAAGACTATATGTTGACACTTTATTGGCATAAGCAAGAAACAGCTTGATTTAATAATAACATGGCATTTAGATGAAAACAAAATTACATCAGATGAGGAATAAAAGGGGAGACATCTCAGTTGGCAAGGATCTGGTTTTTCTTTTCTTTTATGAATAAAGCAACATGAAGACAATGTTAATAGTTACTTCATTATCTTCATTAGAGATGTAGAAATGTTACACGCACAGCCCTTGGTTCTATCAATTTCCAATAACTTATACAACTAGTCTCTTATTCTGTGAGCCTTAACATAAATATAAAAGGATGGTGTTCCATGGTTCAAGTCATGCCAACTACAGAAAAATATGAGATGTCAAACATCAATTAACATGAAAATAACAGTGCAATGATGTGAGAAATACAGAAAAGTATCATCACACACGAGATTCAGACAAGTATTCATATCTGTTGGGTGTGAGAAAATCTTTTCTGCAGCTGGTAATTGTTATGCCTAGAAACCAAAAGAGTAACTAGGAACTAATCACACAATCATCCAACAAGAATGCACACGCCACACCACATAACAGACTAGCAGTATGATACAATAAAAGATACAAGAGTTAAATTTCAGAATTCCCAATTTTTGCTAAAAAGGATAGACAACAAAAAGTTTCAAAATTGAGGTGAATATCAGAATCAACTGAAAAAGGAACGAATGAAAGAAGAGAATTCAGGCTTCCCTCATGGTTAGTACCAGCACAGACAGCACATATGATTCAGATTTCAGACAAGGAAATCAAAGATAACAAGTGACGAAGGCAAACAAAGTAATCACTCACAATGGCAGGATTCATGGCTGGTCCTGTGTAAGCAGAACCAGCAATTATCAAAGTCACAATTGACATCGCCATCAACCAAGTCTTCACCAACTCACTACGAGGACCCCTGAGTATGATGAGGAGAACAACAAAAGTGATTATAAATGTCAGCACCCCTTCTGCAACAGCTCCAGTATGCAAGTCAACCTTCAAAGAAGGTCCTCCAATCATGTGCCTGTATTGTGGTGGCATAACCTCCATAATTGCCAGAAAACCACCCACTGCACCTAGTGCCTGCATAACACCACCATGGCACCATCAATATTCTCATTAATTCATTTCAATATATAAAAATATCTCCAAAAATGCTCAAATATCATAAAAATAAGGTGTTGCTAGTTACGGGCACCCTAAATACATTAGTTAAGAAGCATTTAACATACCATACTAAACACTATATAAGTTACTTCAAAAAGTAAATCCTTTTGTCTAAGACCTTTGGTATTGGCATATTTTATTCAATCACAAGACTCAAACTTGAACCAAAAATATACTTTAGGGAAACCAAGCTCCTTGTACTTAGACCTGTTTTTTTTTTCTTCTTTATTTTTTTGTAATTTTGATATAATAGATACTTTCTTTTATAAATAAATATTTTCTATTTTTCTCTCGAACCAATAATTTCCTTATAGGCATCAGTTCACTGTTAGACCTCCTAGTAAAAATGTATATTCTGGAAGGAAAAGGAAAGCTTAGGAAGTATTATTCGGTTAGAACAGAATAAAAGGGAGGTGGTTGATATAAATAGGGAACTACGGGTAGTTTAGTTGGGCCCTGATTGTGATTGTATTCTTCCTCCATATAGTGTAATTTTGAGATCATATTTTTCAGTTTTGTTATCCAGTACCTATCAATTGGAATCAGATCTCCCAACGTAAGGAGCTTCTGTTCATGGTACATACTCGCATGGATGCCATAGAGAGGGAAATCAAGGGATGGAGGAAGGAGAGGGAAGAGGATCAGAGGGCCGAAGCAACTGAGAAGGAACTTCAAGAATCTTGTTGCGAACTGCAAGAGGCTTGAATGAAAAAAATTTAGGAGCTCTTGGAGGACTTGATGCAACAATCAGTGAAAGAAAATAATGGTGGAAAATCTCCTCATAGGCCAGTAAATGAGAATATAAGAACTCAGAACTGAAGAAAGCTTAAACTAACGAAAGATCATTGGAGAAAACTCGAAATATTAATAGAAGTTAATTTAGCTTTCACGGCTTAGTGATTTTAAACTGTTTTTAATTTAACCACCAACTATTTAAAAAATTAAATCTTTTTTCTAAATTAAAATTAATCAACAAAATTGTTTCTAAAGAACGATGTGTGACACATTCTTAATTTTAATTAAATATTTTAAAATTATTATACGTTCGTCCAAATCCAATTAACTTGAGATACCATTTTAAAATTGGTGATGTAGGGTGCTAGTACCTAACTTCACTGCTTGTAAATCATAATCGACTCCCAAACTCAAATATTTGTTAATTGAGTTTTGCCATTTTAAAATTATTTCTTTTTTGTTTCATTCGCTGTCTTGTCACGACATTGGTTGCGACACAACGGAAGGGGTAGCATCTGATCCGAAGAAGATAGAGGTTATATGGCTGCAGCCTGTTTCCAAACATGTAAAAGAGTTGAGGGGTTTTTTAGGCGTAACCGATTATTACCACAGATTTGTTAAGAATTACAATAGGATTGCTAGGCCTTTAACTCAATTATTGAAGAAAGATAGTTTTTCAGTGGAACTCCCAAGTTCAATTGACGTTTGATCAGCTTAGAATATCAATGACTATGTTACTGATACAGTTCCAGACTTTTGCAGATTTTCACTGTGAAAACTGATGCATCTAGTAGAGGTCTCGGGTGGTTTTGTAACAAGAAGACAACAAACTATAGCTGTTCTAAGTAAAGCCTTATCAGAAAGAGTACAAAGCAAATCAGTTTATGAAAGGGAGCTGATAGCAGAAGTCATGACAGTGCAATTATACAGTACCTATTAATAAATTCCCAATCACATTCAGGGTATGAGTTACAAGGAGATAGGTTGTTCAACAGTGGGAGATCAGTCGTACCTAGAAATTCCTCTGGAGTTTGAGGGAGGTCACTTGAAATTTTTCATGACTTATAAGTGAATTGCTTCCTTGCTTTTTTGAGAAGGAATGAAATAGGACATTCAGAAATAAGCATCATTCTTTGGCACTAGCAAGGTTATTGCAGCCCTTACCAATTCATACACAGGTATGGTCTGATAAATCAATGGATTTCATTGAAGGATTACCAAAGGCAGGAGGTAAAGACACTACATTTGTTGTGGTAGACAGTTTAACAAAATATGCACAGTTTTTACCACTAGGCCATCCATTTTCCGCAAAGGATGGTCCTCAGTTATTTCTCAAATAGCAAAATTACATTGATTTCTAAATTCCATAGTGTCAGACCACGACAAGGTGTTCTTTTGCCATTTTTTTGGACTGAACTTTTTATTAGATCAACAGGGATAAAACTAAAATTAAGTACAGCATATATCCTCAGTTTGATAATCAGATAAAGGTTGTATATCACTGCTTGGAGACCCTATTTGAAGTGTTTAACAAGTAAAAAACTCAAGCAATGACACAAATGGTTGGCATGGGCTGAATGCTGGTTTAATACCAATCATCATAATGCCACAAAAATGCTCCTTTTAGGACATCATCTAGGAGATACCCACCACTACTTATGACTGACAGGGTTAAAATGTTGAAGGAACTAAGGAAATTTACCACAGGCTCAAGGCAAAATGTTGTCCCAAGCTAATAAACATAAACATAAACAAAATGGTGTTCTTAAACAGCCTTATCGCATCAAGTCCTTGGCTTAGAGGCTGAATGAGAAGTTGAATCCTACATTCTGTGGTCCCTACAAAATATTCCAGCATATTGGACAAGAGGCCTACAACTTGGCCCCACAGCTTAGCCACAACTACTACCATCAGGGTTAACCAAAGAGATGGAACTTCAGGTCTATCCTGCAGAGGTATTACAAACACACAGCAACCGTTCTGGAGATATAGAGGTGTTGATCAGATGGTAAGACCTTCCTGAAAGCATTCAGAATATTTTCCTATTTTTCACCTTGATGACAAAGTGAAACTTTTGGAGGAGTATTGTTAGACCTAATAAAATGTATAATCTAGAAGAAGAAGAAAAAATTAGAAAGTAATATTCTGATGTAGCAGAATGAAAGCAAAGTAGTTTATATAAATAGGTAAAAGGAAGCTAGTTGGGGTTGGGGAGTTGTATTTTGAAGTTTGTCAGAGGAGCAAGGCTCATAGGATTCTTGAATGGGTAGGATTCTCCAGGGTCCTGATTGCAATAATCTTTTTCCCTATAATGTAATTCTGTCTCCTTCACATTAAAGGGGATTCTTTTTGCAACAGAGTTCATCTTTTTCAGTTTTGTCATCCAACACCTATCAATCCTTATCAGAAAATGAGACTTTATTTCAGCTTTTTTCATAAAAATTACTTTTTATTTTAAATTTGAAAAATAATAACTAAAATTTTATAGTGTGCTTATTTAAACTTCTGAAAACAAATAAAATCTAAAAACATAGATTTATGATTACTTTGAGAAATTATTTTATGTAATCTTTAAAGTAAACTAAAACAATAACTACTTTAAAAACAGAATATAATTTCCATTTTTTAAACAATTTCTAAAATATAAATTACATTTTAACTAGTTCTTAAAATCATTTTGACTAAACTACTAATTGCGTTCCCAACTTTTCACGCATATATTAAATTTGCCCCTAAACTAAAGAAATCAGTCCTTCGGTTATGTTACAGCATGAGTCCTTAGGTGCAGTATGACACATACTTTTAGTGTTAATTTTAATTAAAATTAGAATTTCAGAAACGGAGTACGTTAATTATCAAAATAAAACTTCAAATTTAATTGAAGAACAGCACGAAAAGCACTTACAATACTTCACCCCCAACCATTGTCTTAAATAATTAAAGAAACAGTAAAAAGTAACTAACAAACCTGAGCAGGGAAACGCAGAGCCATTGAGAAAAGGGTGTCAGAGCCAACACCAGCCGCATAGAAGGAAGCGTTGCCGGTGGGGTTGAAACTGGCACCACCCAAAGCATTGCCAACAATGGTGAAGATGAAAACGAGGACGAAGATGAGCGAAGTAGTTATCAAAATCAAAGGGTAATCGACACCGTTGTAGGACACGTCATGAAGATCAAGCGCTTTTATTATGCTGCTAGTCACCAATCCTAGCGTTGAAGAAAAAAATACCCACAAGAAAGTCAACAGTAAATCTCCAATAGCTGCTTTTATCGCACTAACCATCTTTTCTATCTCTTTTTGGATCCCTTCCCTTTACACTTTTCTTTGGGGATCTCCAAATCAGCAAAAATCTCTGTTTTCTTTTTTTTTTCTTTCCTTTTTTCTCTCTCTTTTCAATTATTTTAGAATTGTGTGTAAGAGAAAGAAAAGAGGACCCTTTTCGGTATGAGAGAACTTCAGTTTTGGATCGAAGTGGCGTGAGCGATAACAGTGCCTGGATACGCTCACGGATGATGATGTTTTTATCAGATCAGTTTCTGAGGCTGTTCAGCGAAAACAACAAAAACAAAAGGATGAAACAATAAAAACAAGAGGATACCATCTTCAACGAACCAATAAAGAAAAATAAATTATTAAAAATTGCAGGGTGCTTTTTTCCAGGAAATGGATCAAACCAAACCATACTAGATATATTTTTTTAGGTTATTTTTAAGAAAATATCTCATTATCACTCCATAATAGATCAAACCAAATGTTTGAATATATATTATTATAATGTAAAAATTTAATATATTTTAATTTTGAACAAGAAGATTAAAATGAAACACTTGACTTTTCTCCAGTAAAGTTTCTACGTGAGTGATGTAATCTAAATTTTAAAATGAATTATTAATTAGTGTCGCCGTAAATTTGAGATGGCAAAGTTTATTGATTATATTCTTTAAGTGACTATGATTATTTTGTATCCTAAAAATTGACTACATCTGCCTATAATAAAATTTATGAAATTAAATTTATTAACATTAAAATTACTTCTATATGTGTAAAGTCAATTATATTGTTGATGATATAAATATAAATAATTTTATAATAAATTGTATTAAATTAAAATTTATTAAAATTAATGATAATATTTTGCATAACTTAAGAATTAAAATTATAATTAATTCATATTTATTATTATTGAATTTTATTTTAAAAAATTATTAGAATTAATAGTTATATAATATTTAAAATTGCAATAATAAAATTACTATAAATGATATTATATATTGGATTTTATAGGATTTTAAAAGACTTTTTTTAAGTAAAAAGGTCTAGTTATATTTAATCAGAATTTTATGTCACTTAAAAATAATTTAGTGGTATTTAATATGAATTTTTAAGTTTTTTAAAGAGTCTATTAAAATCTATTGATATTCATTTGAGACTTTTTTCAACTTAAAAACAATCCTTTAGTATTAAAAAATATAAGAATTTTAAAGGATCGTTGTATTGGAGGGATTTTGAAAGACTTTTTTAGTGGTATCTATAAATATCAAATTCATAAAACAATTACATTTAAACTCATCAGATTTTAAAAGATTGTTTGAAATAACTTTTCAACGTGCTTCAAGAATTTTTAGGTAAATTTTTCATCTCTTTTTTTCTATGCTCTTGTTTTTTCCATTTTTTTCTCTGCTAATAATACTGCATTATTGTTCATATATAATACTGTATTACTGTTCTCATTCTATTCCCGTATTTGGTAAAAACGTAAATAACAGTGTCATTGACTATTTATAAAAAATACTTGAAATTTTAACTTTTAAGTAGTAATTTTTTTTATAACATGCGTCAAGAAGTGAACGTTGAAATTGACATCATGATATCTACAATTAACTTGTCTATACCATATAATATTTTTTTAATTGAATAAATGGATGTTTAAATATCTAAAATATAGAAATAATAATGTATACCCTCTCTCTCTCTCTCTCTATATATATATATATATATAGCAGTTAAGCTTTTTATAAGGCTATAATATTGTTTTTAATTATATAGATATCTATTAGGTGAGATATAAATTTAATAAGTGTTCTTATCCATAATTATTTATATAACTAGTTTCTAACATATATTGTTTTAGTAATTTAAATGAGAGATTCACAAAGAAATAATAAAGAAAGGGGAAAAGAGAAAGAAAACTATAAAGCTTGGACTAAGGAGGATTCAGCTGCCAGTGAATGCTTTAAAAAGTGGACTGGATAATGCTAATGAGTCAATTAGCAAACTAAATGAAGAGAGTTATCATTCCCTATCTCAATACTAAAATTAAATTTCCTAAAACGTATAATCATTACTTGAGTTGAATGAAGTGATTTAATAAAGTCTCACAGAATCTATTATAATCTTGACTTAAAAGTCTTACAAAATCTATTAAAATTTTGATTTTAAAATCTTGTAGAATCCTATAAAGTCTTAAAAGATGAAGATCCTGCAAAGTCATTTAAAATCCGCAAGACTTTTTTCAACTAAAAAACTCCTTTAAAATCCTAATCCAATACACTCTCCTTAATAAAAAATATTAAAATTTATTATATATAAAAAATTTAGAACAATTCATTGTCAAATATTAAAAATAGGAAAAAGAATATTGATTAAATTGTATAAAAATATCTTTGCAAAAATAAAATTTTTGAATTACCTTTTAATTGAAAATAAAATTGTATCTTTGTTTTAAGTTCTATTTAAATATGAATGTTATTGATTTAAATTATTTTATTAATTAGTTTAAAATATTCTATTTTAAATATATACTTTAAACACTAAAATATACTTTTTTCTTTTTGCTAAACATCAACGTTTTATTAAGGATAAATTTAGATGGAATACCAGTCTCTTCAACAACAATGTGTTAATGTTAGTGAAATATTTGATTTTATTAGGTATCATTCTCGGAAGTGGCTTGCAGCAGGGCCTTTGAGAAAATCATACCATTATAACTCCCTCTATTTCTTTTTTTTACATTGGATTCCACACATACTTAGTAATATCTCGTGCAAATTTTTAGGTAAGCATAAACTGATACCAAACTATTCAAACACCATTTACCACAGTTTCATGGAAATACTGCAATGCAAAAAAAGATGCAATATGTCCTCATTTTCAGTATCACACAACTCACAAGCTTCTGAGGTAATCGACAATTCACGTTTGCTCAAATTCTTTCACACCGGTATTGCATTAAGCAATAAGCGCTAAACAAATATCACTACTTTCCTTGGCGTGTACTAATCTTTCAAATCCTGCGCAAGGTCTGCACTAGACCCCACTACTTGCAGTAAAGAAATGATGAATGTAGTGATAAGTGAATTGCATACTGTATTTCTTGTCACCATTATACTTCCACAGCAACATGTCATTCACATTTTCTCTCGGCCTCTTACCCTCCATAGTTTCCCACAATTATTTTGTAGATCCTCTTCCGATGAAAATAATTGCTTTTTCCAAGGAATTCCGCACACCTATTGACTCATCTCAAATCGTCTGTTATCTATCACTCGTGCCTCTTTATTAGTCGTTGCTCAAAATAGCCTGGGTATAAATTTACCAATTCAATATTTTCCGCTCATTTATCCTTCCAAAAACTAAAAGAACAATCATTGTCAAGTACTTGTGTGACATTAGAATCTATCCAATCATCAGTTTGTTTACGGACTCATATCACGTCCCTCCACCAATCTAAAGCACTATGAGCTACCTCCAAAGAAATTAACATATCTGTATATGATCCATATCGCACCTGTAACATATCAAAGTACAATGAGTTTGAAGACTTTAAACCTTTCCAAACCCATTTACCTAACAAGTTTCAATTGAACAATTCCACATTTCACACCCTTAAACTATCCTCATTTTTTGCAATACTATTTTACAATTTACCTTTTCTTCAATTTTTAAGATGTATTATATATATATATATATATATATATATATATCGTAATAAATATGAATTCCTATATTAATAAAATAAATAAGAAGAAATGTTATATTATCTATTTGATAAGTATTTGTATATACATAAAATATATTTTTTTTGTTAAATATAGTAAATATATTCAACTAAAACCAAAATTTAAACCATTTTTAAACTAAATCTAAAATTTAAAATTAATTTAAAATCTATTTTAAATAATTTTAAAAGAAAAAATAAATTAGTTTAAAATTTAATTTGTATAATTAGTTTGTGTAGTGGATAAATAATGAAAAGTAAAAAATATAAATTTAATTTTAATACAATATGAATATAAAAGAATTATATTATTAATTTATTTATATTAATTATTATAAAATTTATTTTTAATATAATAATTTAATAATAGTATATTTTACTAGATTTAAAATCAGTTTTAAACTAAATCTAAATTTTAAAACTAATTTTAAATTAGTTTAAAAAAATAAAATTTAGTTTTATACAAATCCAATTCATGTCTACTTTTAAAAGACTTTTTTATTAAGTTTAATATGACATTTTTAAAAGTTTGATTTGACCTATTAAACTTTTTAATGACCTATTTCGTATTAAAACATCAAATAAATTATTAAATTTTTTTATAAATATGTTATTAAACCATTTAAATAAGTATATTTTTTAAAAAAATTACAAGATTTATATATAAATAAACTATTAAAAAAATAATTCAATATTTTAAATATGTATAATAAAATTACATATTCCTATTTATTATTTTCAAATTATATATTTAATTTAAATAAGTAAATTAGTACACATACAAAAAGAATAAACATCAATTTATAAATTATTAAACAAATTTAATAAAAAAAATCTTATATATTAAATTAACAAACGCAATATAACTAAATAAGTTTTAGAAATAAACTTAACAAACAAAAAATTAAAATACACAAATAATAATTACTATATTATAATTTTTATATAAAATTATTTAATTTATTATTATAAATTTTACAAATTTTAAATATATTATTTTAATAAGCTTGATAGACTTTTTTTTTAATTTAAATATTATTTATTTAATTAATTATTTTAAAAAAAAATTAAATTAAATTTATTAATTAAATAAGTTAAAGTTAAAATAAACTTAAAAAAAACTAGCCCAGGTCTGACCTATCTAACTAAAGCACCAAAAGGGTATTATTTGAACTAAATGTAGCCGTTGGGACATGGAAGCGAATTGCAACGGCTACTTTCATTCATAAAACTATCCGTTACCCTCACCCATGTGGTCCATTCCCAACTCATAAAACACCTTCACTTCCTTGGCATTTTCAAATCCTCTCTAGCTCTCTTACTTTTTCCTTAGCATTTTCAAATCAGCTCTTACCCTTCACAAACTTGGTTTCATAATTTCTGCCCCTTCTTTCCCTTTTATAAGGTATGGTTTCCATTTATAATCATGATCGACATATCAACATCGATCAATTTTATAGAAAGTTCTGGTTTATATTGATTTGATTTCTATGCAGGGAATACCGTTCACAAACTTCGCTTCCTGATTTCTGTTCCTTCCCTTCTTACCATTCTATAAGGTATGGTTTCCATATATGATCCATGAATCAATTTTATTAATCCAAAGTTGTGATTTTTATTGATTTAATTTCTATGCAGGGAATACCCAAAAGGCGAAAATGAACGATTTAATGACCAAATCCTTCACCAACTACGTGGATCTGAAGAAAGCGGCAATGAAAGACGTGGATTTGGAAGCGGGCAATGCTCCACCCGATGTGGAACTAACCTCATCAACGACTCACATGGATACTCACATGGGTCTCTTCTTAAAAGAAGCAGAAAAGGTTAAAACCGAAATGACCCATTTACGCGACATCCTCGGAAAACTCCAACAAGCCAACGAGGAAAGCAAGTCCCTTCACAAACCCGAAGCTTTGAAACAATTGCGTAACAGAATCAACTCAGACATTGTCACAGTGCTGAAAAAAGCACGCGCAATAAGGACCCAATTGGAAGAAATGGACCGTGCCAACGCCTCTAACAGAAGACTCTCAGGGCTCAAAGAAGGGACTCCAGCCATTTACAGAACAAGAATCGCTGTGACCAATGGGTTACGCAAGAAACTGAAGGAGTTGATGATGGAGTTTCAAGGTTTGAGGCAAAGAATGATGAGTGAGTACAAAGACACGGTTGGGAGAAGGGTGTTTACTGTGACAGGGGAATACCCAGATGAAGAAGTTATTGAGAAGATAATTAGCAATGGGAATGAGGAAGAGGTTTTGGGGAAGGCAATAAAGGAGCATGGGAGAGGGAAGGTTCTAGAAACTGTGGTAGAGATTCAGGATAGGCATGATACGGCTAAAGAGGTTGAGAAGAGTTTGTTGGAGCTGCACCAAGTGTTTTTGGATATGGCTGTGATGGTTGAAGTGCAAGGTGAGAAAATGGATGATATTGAGCACCATGTGTTGAATGCTTCGCATTATGTTAAGGATGGGACAAAGAGTCTTCAGAGTGCTAAGGAGTACCAGAGGAGTAGTAGGAAGTGGATGTGTATTGGGATTATACTCATTTTGATTTTGATTCTTGTTATTATTATTCCTGTTGTCACAAGTTTTAGTAGTTCTTAAAGTTTTTATAATGATGTTAGATGTGTTTCAAGAATTTTATTCATAGTCCTTCTGGGTGCAGAGTTGTACGACGACTCATCGTTGTTTCTTTGGTGTTGTTTTGTAAATGATATGATGAAATTCATCTTATGTTTTGCAAGTCAGCTTAAACCTGTGATATTTTTAATAATTGAAAATTTGAAAGGGGTGTGAAAATTCATGATGAAGTTGTATCATCAAATGGCATCAAAGGCTGTTAAGTAAAAAAGTGAGATATGTTGACTGTGAAAATTCATGTTTTGAGTTTCTGGGCTAAAAAGTTGAACTTGGATTTAAAATTTACTCATCCCACAAGATGGATGATCAACTTCAAATTTTTATTTGTGTAGCATACATCCGACTAGTAATCATGTTAGTTTTGTGTAGCAATCATGTTATATTGCTACAGAGTGGTTCCAGAATCTTGTCCTTTTTTACATTTGCGGGTTAATTGTTAATACATCAAAATGTATATAACTAAAAGAGTTACAACTTTAAAATTGTATAAAAAAACAAAGGTTACAACTCTATTTTAGAACTTGAGATTTAGTTTTATATTGCTGGATTGGGCTACATCCTAAAAAACTAAAAATGTATATAACTAAAAGAGTTACAACTTTAAAATTGTATAAAAAAACAAAGGTTACAACTCTATTTTAGAACTTGAGATTTAGTTTTATATTGCTGGATTGGGCTACATCCTAAAAAACTAAAAACTTGGAAGGTGCAAGCTCATACTAAAAGAAATAATTAAAATTCAAGCCACGTCTCTGAAATAGAACAAAAACTTTCATATCAAAGCAATAGCATTCAATCATTTTAAATATATATATATATATATATATATATATATATATATATATATATATATAAAGGCTATTCATTTGTTATCCAATAAATCTTGATTTTTTAGAAACTTTCTTTTAAGACAAAAAAAATAATATCAACGAAATAACTTTATATTATTGATAGCCACCAAAATTCTAACACAATCTTACTTTTTAGTGAAAGTATGATCAAATTAGTCTTAATGTCTTACTTTGGGACTTAACTAATGCTACAACTCCTCTAAAAGATAAGATCAAGAAGCTTGTACTTCTACTTAAGACCCATAGTATATAGTTATTAACATAATAACGTGAAGAATATACAAAAAACTAAAATATGATTCAAATTTGGTATCACATATTAAACTGAAACAATCTCCTACCAATTAATCCACATGTTTGGTGGTTATATTTTGTTTGATAAAGTTTAATATTAAGGTTTCACTTTTAAATACATATTTAAAAATAAAAGTTTGCATATGGTTAAAACTGAAATTTTTATCTAAATAAAATATTTGAAATACAAAAAATATGAATTCTAAGAAATATTAATTGTTCTGATCAACTCCAAAAAATTAGTAATTTAAAAATAAAAATTAATTTAAAATAGTTTAAACTTCTTAAAATGATAAATTATCATCCAAAGTTTACCCCTCAATTAGTTATTTGATTAATTATACATATCCAAATCAAGGTTATAACAGTGTGTGGGAACTAATTTGAAAAGTACCAGACTACAGAAACAGAAAAAGAGGAATGTAACCAAACATTAGTATTTTTAAAATTTGTTGAAATAATCATCTTAAAATAAGTCCTATATCTTTTAACTTAATTTAATTCCTTATTTCAATTTATGTTAGTTAGAGACACTTTAACCTTATTTTAATTTGACCAATAAAGATACCCAGTGCATTGCAAGACTTAATTCAAAAGTTTGTAATCAATAACTAGTTGAAAAGTACCACTTTCTAGTTCAACTTGTTTGTAAATGTAGTTGACAAAGCAGGACTAAAGACTCTTACTAGTTCTAATATATATTACTAGTTATTCTAATATATATACACTATCTTTCAATTCTCACATACAATATTTGAATTCCCCTTTTAATAATTTTGTTTTAGTTGACAAGTAAACAAGAAAAACTTAAAAATTCGAACACTTCATTTATTTTATATATCTGTTAAAATTTATAGAGTATAAAATTGATTAAGATCGTAATAATCTTAAAATTTAATTTATTTTAAAAAAAATATCTTCAATTTGATATCATAAATAAAAATAAAAATTTAAATAAAATTAGGTTGAAAATAAAAATAAAGAAATAAAATTAGAGAAAAATAAAAAATAACAAAAATAATGTTCAATACGGGACTAAAATACGGAGTTAATGAAAAAGATAATAATAGCTCTTAAAAGTATTTTATTCCAAAATAAGAACTCAAATTTATAATACAAAGCTAAATTATTATTATTTTTGTATAAAATAATGGTGATTTAAGTTAAATAAAAATCCATCTACTGAATATTTTTATAAGCTCCTTTAAACTTATTTTAATAAATTTTATGGTTAAGTTTATAGTACAAATTATATATCGTAACGTACCCTATGGCTTAAATTTGAAAAGTACGATAATAAACTTAACAGGTCTTAAATAACAATAATTTAAATAATCAAAGCATGATATAATATTAGTACCTTTTTTTGTACACTAAACGATTATAATAATATGAGAGAGTTTATATTAGTAAGTATATTTGTTATAGTTTTTACATATATACGTGTGTCATACTTTAAAATATTTATTTGCGCATGAATTTTATTTAATTTGAATTTTTTTCCAAAATGTCAAATAGAAGGAAATGGTTTCAAATCAACTTCTGTAAACTATATAATGAAACATTTAGTGAAACTACATCCTCTTCAGCCAATTTCTTGTATCATCATTGGTGAACATTCCTTTCAAATTTCGACTTTGAAGTTAAGAATAGTATTGGTGATCAGAGTAGTAGATGGCTTTATCAAATGCCGCAACTGATAACCGTATCTACTAATTTATGTTTTTGCTAAACCTTATCTGTTATATCTAAAAAACTAACTTTCAAGATTAACAGTGCTTTGAGTCTTGCCGCGAGATCGATCAATATATATATATATATATAGTAACAAGCTTGGGTTTATATTTCAAAACTCTTTCTTTCCTTAGATATTGGGGGTAAGAACGAGTCTTGATCAATGAGATCTCTTTCAAGAGTCAGCAAAGGAAGAAGAATGCCTCCACATCCTCAACAACATAACAGTGATGATGAGTCGCGGGTGGAATTGGACCTCAACGTTGATATTTCAGCTTCGCCCACAAGGGCCCCTCCCATTCGGAAGAAGCATTGGACTGCGGAGGAACATAGGTAAGAACTTGTTTTGGCTATCGTTTTTTCTAATGTTCATGTGTCTTTGTAATGTCTATTGCTATTCTTTTTTTATCAAGCAATTCCACTATCCTATGATTCTTCAAAAGAATCTCATACCCCTTTAATTTGATTTTCACGTAATAGGTTATTTCTCAGTGGTTTGAAGAAATATGGTAAGGGAAATTGGAAAAACATTGCAAAGCATTGCGTGGTGTCAAGAACTCCCATGCAAGTTGCTAGTCATGCTCAGAAATATTTCCTCCGTAAGAAGAATATGAACCAGGCGAAAAGAGAAAGCATCCATGACCTAACTCTAGATGATGATACACAGCCACCTTCTCAGAAAATGACTCGTTCTCACGACACGTTTTGCCAGCACAGTTGAACTTTAATAGACCAAATGGTAGCCGTATCAAACAACGTGTCAGCTTATCAATTTAATATGTATGGTCCCAAACAATTATAGGAATATGAAAGAGTTTATATTAGTTAACATATTTGTTTAGTTTTTCCATGTGTGTGTCATCCTTTAAGATGTTTATTCATCTTTGATTTTTATTTTTATTTATTAGAATTTTAATGTTTTACTATTTTTTAATAGATTATTTAATGTTACTTTTCTTTTCAGTGTATTTTCAAATTGTTAAACAGAAGGACTTGGTTCCAAATTGAAATTAATAGAGTGAAAATTTTCTCTATAATGCAAGAATGTTATGGATGAAGTTACAACGGCTTAATTGTTAGACAATAACTTCTATATACAAAATGTGAATCTTATTATCTTAAATGAGATGTGAATTAAAAATATTTTTTTAAAATTATTTCCACCAAAAGCTAAGAAGTTTGGTTTGAAGTTTTACATTTTTTTTATAATTATCTTATCATGTTAAATAAGAATAAATTAAAGAGGTATATTTTTTAAAATTAAAAAAAACTGAAAGATATATAATACCTAAAAAATATAATTAAAAAAATAGAAAGATATATAATACCTAAAAAAATTTCTTAGTTAATATGAATCTTAAACATACTCTTATTCAATAATTAGGACTCACAACTAATATACCTTTATATATAGCCAATTTCAAGGTAACTTTTGCAGTCAACAAATTACTTTAAAATTATATATTATACATTAAGAATGCGTTTGGAAGAGCTTAATAATAATTTATCAAAATAATATATATATAATTTTACTTATTTAATAATAGAGAAAGATAAAATGAAAAATAAAAAGAATGCACAAAAATATAAATAAAATGAAGGTAAAATTAATGTCATATTATTTTATGTGAATCTAATTATCTTTATTTTATCCTATTATTATTATTATTATTATTATTATTATTATTATTATTATTATTATTATTATTATTATTATTATTAAGTTAGATGAAAACTAATAACTAAGAAACTTGGATGAACTCAAAATTCGTTAATACTAACTCATAATACATATGAAACACCTTTTGCTCTTAGACACAAAAATTATCCATGTCCTCTTCCGACCAAACTCTTTTTTATTTTTGCATGAATAAGGGAGTCTAAGAAAAATCTTGGTTCCAAGCTTAAAAGTTTTGAAAAAATCATGAATATTGCTTGTGATAAAAATAAAGAAAATAGGGCTTAATTAATTGAATGGGTAAACAAAATTAGTTTAAAATAATAAAAATAAAAATTATAAATTTATTTTTAACTCGTAGTTGAAAATAAAAATAAAAAAGTTAATATAAGTAGTGTTGAAAAAAAGAATACTGGTATGCTACCAAATATTATTACTTATAGTAAACAAGCTTTTAAGCTTAGAAAAAATAAATCAGCAAGCTGAAATGCTTTAGCAAACATAAAGTATTTTTCCTTGATCAAAATGTTAGTCCTAAAGAGTAATTCATTAAATTCATATTGATTATTAAATTATTATTTTGTTTAATATAAAATAGAGTAATACATTATATTTTTATTATGATTTTAATAAAAAATAAAATGAGGTAAAATTATTTTACTTACCGCTATATAAACTGAATATCTTAATTTTAAACTAATATACTTTTAATAATTATATTTTCTCTCATTATGTCACGTAACTTTCTTTTATCAAGCATTTAAACTTATTAATTTAGTTTTAATTTTTTATCATTTATTTTATATTTTAAAAAAATATTTTTATTTAATCTTATTTAATATGTAAAATTATTTTTTTAATTTATAAAATTTAGAATGGTGTAAAACTTATCAAAATATTTTACATGGATCACTTACAACAATATTGTGTTAGGATTAGGTTGTTATCTAAATTCAACATACTTTTATGGTTTGGTTCATAAAATATTAGTATTTTGATAAGTTATTGGAAGTAGTAAATACCAAAATTTGTAAAAAGATTAACATTATATATTTTAAGAAATCAAATGAGTTAGAAATAAAACTAAAGAGTTTGATACTATAGGCCCGTTTTGTAGCCATGATAAAAGTAGATAGGATATGATAGTATATTATATATGTTCTTAATCAAGTGTTTATTGAGGCATAAAGATAGGATTAATTTCTTTTATTACTTATCATATTCTATTGAACTAGTGTAATTGTTATTACGAGAATATGACTGAGTTAGAAAAGAAAGGAAATGATAGCAATTATCTTCTCCAAAATATCCTTAATTTATTCTATTACTTCCCTCTCTTCTCTATTTTATATTTTTAAAATATATTAAAATAAAAAATAAATAACTTATACACAGTAAAAAAAATAAAATTTTAATTTAGTAAATATAAACAAAAGAGATAATTTTATTATTTTCTAAATAATTATGTTATTATTATTTCTATCACGTCTACATCAAACATTAAATATGATAAAAACTTATCATGATCTTGTCGTGTAACATTTTTATTTTTTATATATATAATTTCGCTAAAATTTAATTAAAATAGGTATTGTTTTAGATAAATTAAAAAAATTTATGTGATTTAAATATTAAAACAATGGAGGTTATCAAAATCTTAAAACTTTGTATATAAATCTCGTTCATAACATAAAAATGTATTTTTATAATTTAAATTGAACATTAAGGTGAAAGTAGGATTGAGAGAATTAACTATTAAATATTACAAATATACTTCAAATTATTATTTACAATAAACTTTATAAAATCTTTTAAGTGTCTAAATTCGACATCAAATTATTTACATACCAAAATTAATTTCTAATTAGGACTTAATCAAAATTATTACAACTTTAATATAACTTAAATCCTAATAGAGTAAATTCTTCCTTACAATACCATTGAGAATATAATCCTAGAATGATCATCCTTCGTTTCAATTACTGAAAAATGGTTGCAAGGGTGAATATTTACCATTCCACTAAATTCTTTATTTTATAAATGAACAAGTAATACAAAAACATCATTAAATATTGTATACATCAAATAATATTAGCTTGCATATTATATTATTAAATTTATAACAGCTCAAACATCATAATTAGCAGATCATTAATATTTCAAATCATACACTAAGATCATGTCATTTCATATATTCTTACATTAATCAATATGTCATAATACATTAGTTCTAATCATATTAATTGATGCATTACAATACATATATTATAATCATACTCGTCGTTGTATTACTATACATATATTATAATCACATCAATCAATCTATTACAACACATGTATTATAATTACAAGATCACTGTGTTATAACATTAGAGCTCTACTATCTAAAACGATAAAATTTGAGTTTTAAGACAATAATATATAAATAGGAGTTAAGGTTTATGATCAACTACCCTTACCTAGGAATAGGTCTCTCGAAATCAAAGAGAGGAAAGATAATGTCTCTAAGGTTAAGTTCTCCTCGAGATCTGAAAGAAGGTGCAACATTTTGGTGGAAGATATCGTTCAAAGACCAAAATCTTCTTGAGATCAAGAGAAAAAGATATCTAAGCTTAAATTTGAAAGATGTTTGGAGAGTAATAGGGTTTTTAGTTGGAGGAAGGAGTGAGTGAACAAAAAGTGAGGTGAGAAATAGTTATTTGTTTCGAAAACTATGTTTTTAGAATGTCTAAAATTACTTAAATATCTATTTTTCTTGAGGATTTTTGCTTGAGTGAGGGGTATTAAAACTAGAAAAATTCTGCTACACATTTGTTGATATTTTTGCTGATATTTTCGTATTAGCTATGCATACTGATTAGAGCAAAAGCATCACACGTCTCATGCTCATTTCTCAACTAGATTCTTAACTATATTTTTGCTAAGGAGCATGTTATTGTGTAGGACTATACATTGTATCCATATGCATGGACTAACTGACGACCATTTAGCTATGAGTGTAAGACCTCATGGAATGTTGGAGGCAACGTTCGAATGTAATCACAGTGTACGAGGAAGTGTGTATATGAGAAAATGATAGAGGATGTTATATAATTAATGTGCATGAATTATGGTATCGTTGATATGTGTTGTATTGTATTTAATGGTATGGAGATTCATATATGTATGTTCATTATGTTTTAGTAGTAAAAAGAGAACTCATCCTTAGAAATACTTTCAGGAAATAAAGATGACCACTTCATAGAGACCACTTCATGTAGACTAAACTGTGGATTTAGAAAATGACAGAAAGTTTGCTACTGTAAATTTATAGTAACTAGTGAACATGGATCTAGTGATGCAAGTATAGTAGAATTCACAATAGAGTATAATATTCTTTTTTATTATTCTGTTAGTGGTAGAATACAATATACTTTATGTTTGTATGTATATAGAGGGATAGTTTGGACGCTCGAAACTATAAATTATGTGAATACCTTTCACAACCACGATCAACTGGAAAGACTAATCACTTTTACTTGAGAGTAGATTACTAATGCAGGGGTTGTTGCAAATGCCAGAAAATTTTATGAAGAGTTGGAAGAGATAGAGGGTTGGTTTGATGATGATGACTAAGATCCTACTCTTAGGATTTTTGGTGTGGGAGTACATTGCTCATTAGGACTTAGTATATTTAATTTTGTAATTATGTAAATAAAGTCCTAATGTATTTTTTGGATTATGATATATAAATATTTTTGTACTGAATAAAAAATAATATATATATATATATATATATATATGTATATGTTCTTACTAATCAAGTGTAAATTTAATTAGCAAAGTTATAATGAATAGTAAATATTTGTCTCATATATTCTTGGGTATCTTGGTATTTTCACAATTTGAATAAACAAAGTGAATGTTTAAATTTTTCATAAATTTTTAATGCGATAAGTCAAAAAAATTCATATTATTTTAAATCTTCAATATAAATTAACACAAATTAAAATAATAAGTAAATGTGTTACACTATTGGTTACATTAGTACTTATGCTCCACAA